ACATGTGAACGGTTTTTTTCCGTAAGTCTGAACCAGACTGCCGATGAGTATCTACAGTTTGTGATAAAAGATATTGTCTGGTAATTTTCTTCCAAGATTACAGACCTTCTGTAAACGGAAATGCCAAGAGATATTATAGCTGAAAGGTGGAGTAAGAAGTTAATAATTATTTACCCACAAATATGTATTTTTTCGTGTGCGTCATAGGAAAACCTAATAAATAAAAGAACTACATATTGACTGTCATTATTTATTCTCAAGTTTTCGCATATTTCTTTTTAGTTTAAGTAAGCTATTTAACAGTTACTTCAGTATATTTCAATAAATGTCAGACTAAAAATTTTAATATTTAGCAATCAGTGCATTTGAATTGCAAATTGTGACCAACAGAAATTTCTTGCGGATACCAACTTTTAGATTTCAGGCAGAAAATAAGTACAAATTTGAATTTTTTCTTTGCTTCATTTGCATGTATGTTTTGAAAAATGTATAGTAAATTTTTAACCCAAGGGTCGTTAGCCCAGAGGAGTTATTAATTTCGTTTTGCGTCGAAGGCTTTAAATTTCCGTTTCACTTTTCAAATTGTTGCCACCAAATATTATCGCCCTGTATTATATTTAAAGAAATTAAGTGATGAAGAATGCATAAATGTATATGTGTTTCTCGCATTGTAATAAAACAACGCTACCTAGAGCCATCAAATTCTGTATAACGTTATCTTCCACAGTATATGGACGTCTTGGAAGCCCGAATTTGGAATTTATTTTATTCTTTTTCATATTTTGTAACACTTTTAACGAATTTTTAACTAACTCAACGATTTCAAAGCGAGCAATGGCTACACTATACGGAGGGGAGAATATTTTTATCTCTAGCGCGCGAGACTGTGTATCGGAAATTCTAAAGATATGCGCAGTTTAAAATTATTTTGAGATATTGCTGTTGAATTGAATTTAATGGTTTAAGTGCAAAGAACAAGATATTTAATAAATAAAGGCAACATACAAAACGTTAAAGGTAAAGAAATCAAATACTGAAGAATATGCATAAATGTAGTATGTTTCTCGCATTGTGGTGAAAGAAGGGTACCTAGAGCCATCAAATTTTGAATAACGCAATCCTTCTCTGATTATGAGCATCTGGAAGCCCGAACTTGGTGTTTGGTGTATTTAATTATGGCAAAGCACACTAGGGCTATCTGCCTAAGAGGAGGGATGCCTTCGTGGAGGACTTTCTAAGGGAAACTGGCTCGTATACACGTTACACATGGGAAAAACCATGAAAACGCCCATGCAGCCAGCCCGTTCGCGGGATTCGAACCTCGGACCGAACTACCAGTGTTCAGCGATTTTACCGCTCGGCCGCTGGTGGGCCCCGAATTTGGAATTTGTTTTATTATCGTTTTCATATTTTGTAACACTTCAACGAATTTTTGATTAAGAAACTAACTCAATGATTGCAAAGCGAGCAATGGCAATATTGTACCGGGGGGGGACACATTTTTATCTCTTTGTGCTAGAGCCTGTATATCGGAAATACTAAAGATATGCTCTTTTTAAATGATTTTGTGATGTTGCTGGGAAATTGAATTTTATGGTTTAAATGGGAAGAACATGATATTTAAGGAATAAAGGTAGCACACAAAACGTTAAAAAAACGCCCCTTTGGGCGCAATGTAAAATCTGAAAGCTTTCAGTTTTTTTTTAATTATTTAATTAACAAATTTTGCTTCATTAACCAAAAGAAAAAAAATTTTTTTTTTAATTGAAGCCCGTCAGCTACTTTCATATTGTGCATTTGGCCCGCGTGCAGTTTGAGACCGCTGTCTTGTATAATTACGCGCGATTTTATTTGGAAGCACGAAGCTGAAACAAGTTGTACGTTAAAGAAACTTCACTTTCATTACTAGTAGTTCCGCAATTTTACTTATTAATCTGGTAATTTTTCAAAACATCAAATCTAGTATTCAACAACAAGTGTGAATAATCTTAACCAAAACAGATTTGACAATTGATGTTTCCTGTGAAATACGTATGTCTTGGCTTTTATTTTTATTTTTCTTACGTTAATCATTAAGCCTTATAAAGGTAACTATGGTAGTCTTTTGCTGTTTCTAAAAAATATATAATTTTAATAAGGGATTAAGTATTGTAGAATCATGTCTGTCTTATGAGTGTATTAACTATGATGGCCTGAATTTTAATATTAAATTATGCAGTAATGCTTTAGTTAACTTACCTTACCTTATTTTAAATATAACTGATAATTTTTATATATTATTTTTATTTTTATTTATTATATTTATATTTAAAATAAAATATAAATGATATTTTAAATAATATAAATACCTACTAAATGATTCAAAGATATGAATTTCATTGTGCAAGTTAAAAATATGTTCCTGTTTTAAACTTTTTGATGGTTTTTTGAATTAGCGTGCTTAAGACTAAAATTCTCGAATAAAATTATTTAAGAATTATTAATATAATTAATCATTTGAAAAGTGTTTTGATTGTATTAATAATTTTCAGTTAAAAAAATTGTACTCTAATAAGCGATTAGGATGAGAGATTTTATTATTCTAGAACTTCTTCTGAACACAGAAAAATTTATTTTTTGAGTGCTTTATGTATGGCATAATACTTGTACAATGCAAGAATGAAATTTTGTTGTGTGTGTCTTTTTTTATTAATTATTTTGGCTAATCTTTAGAATATGGTAACAGGTAGTTTGGCGACATTTTGGTAAGGCGATAAAGGTTACTAGGTAGGATTTTAGCAATAATCTGAGAAGTACACAGTTCGAATCAGAGATTATTTTGTCTGAGAGAAATGAGAGATCATGAGACATGTCATGTGACATTTTCCGGAAAATTCTAATGGGGATTTTAGCTAATAAGCACTTAGAAACAATTTCGCAGTTAAAGTGCAGAATCGCCCACTTATTTGTTTGCGCTTTTTACAAGAGTAAGAAGAATTGGATTTTTGTCAATTTTCTTTGACCTTTTAAGTGAAAATAGGTCGATGGGTACATGGATAAAGTGAAGAGTGTGCGCAATGCCATTTTTCTGCAATTCTGGGATGTTTTTTTAAGTGAAAATAGGTCGACGTGTACATGGATACCGTGTATGTGCAATTCTTAAAAACGCGGCAAGCAGTGGGCGATTCTACACTTTCTCCCAATTTCGTACCTAATCTTCGTCATGATTAAGCACTTTTGTTCCATAAAAGTTTTAGTATAAGCGTAATTCGGCTAGCAGATTGTTGGAAAGAAAAAGAAAAAAAAAAAAAAAAAAAAAAAAAAAAAAAGAAAGAAAGAAAGAACATGCCTTTACATCGTGAAAACAAAATGGCGTTCAAAAAATAATCTAGCAGGTTGCTGTAGCAGGGTTGGTCGCCAAAGTTTCGCCAAAAAATCGCCAAGTTACCATAATGTAAAGATTCACCATTATTTTATTAGTTTATATTAAATGTAAACTCAGATACTTTTTAAAACGGGATACAAACAAAACACACTTGCGAGAAAAATTCTAATTGTTTTTATTCAGACATATATATGTATTCGGTTATTAAAAATATCAAATGGTATTCTATGTTTCAGTTCTCCCTGAAAGAGTCTCGTAAATTAATTAGTTACTAAAAATCTTAATGTAATTATTTTAACTCTTTGTATGTAGCAAATTTTAGCACAGTTAAAGATTTGGTCTTCATATTTTTTAGTTTGCTAAATATATACGGTAAAAAGTCAGAGATCCGGAATCATCGGAACTTCGGCGATTCCGGTGTTTTAAAATATCTTTATTTTCGATCTTTAAATCTAGCAAGATGTGATATAGGCATGGCAACATTTGGGCGTCATTTATTGTTTAGATCAGACAGAAAAAGGTTAACACCACCGTCACCATCTCAAAAACAAAGTGAACTGGAAATGGCAAAATTAAAGTAAAACAATTAATGAAGATTTCCCTAATTAAAATGAACCATTCCAAAAATTGGAAACTTACCCATTATACGTAAAAAAAAAATAAAATACCTTTAGTGAACAAATTCTTAAAATGGAAAATAAACTTATATAAATAAAAAAAATTGAGAATAAACTACAATGTAGCAAACATTTTTACACATAACTTTGCGAGAACCTTCTTTCAGACACTAGTTTGAAACAATGAAGATAACGTTTAGAAGTTGAGACGGCCAGGGTTGCCAGTTTGGCTCTTTGGCGAAACTAAAAATCGTAATCAAGAAAGGGATCTAGGGAAATCTTTATTAATGGTTTTACTTTGCCATTTATTCCTTGCTTCGAGCAGAACCAGAGTTTTCGGGTGAACTGTTAAGATCAAAAAAATATATTATTGGAATGATTCATCAACTAATTCTAGGTATAGAAAAGCAAGGATTTTCTTATGGACGAGGAATTGTTATTAATTTCGATATATCCTCCTCCTGACGACGTTATGTCGAGTTGATTGGATTCCTCTTCTTTCATGCTTTTTTTTTTTTTTTTTTTTTTCCCTCATTATTTATGTGTTTCTATATGCACTTAAATTAAATTACGTATTTAAGACTGTACCTACATGTCAGATGCTAATATTAATCAAACTATATACTGTCATACTATTATGTATATGATTGAATGTTACATGTATGTAATTCTTCTAAGAATTCATAAGTATATACATTTACTTTTTTTAATTATTACATCTCTTCTCACGTTTCATATGTAAAAGCGTGGTTAGAAGTTCCTTAATTAAAAAGCAAAATGGTGCTATACTTACTATAAAAACTAATGTTTCTCTTCTGCTTTCAATTTGTAAAAAATATTTGTTTGTTTAAAGAGATTTATTTCCAGAAGTTAATTTTCTTTGAAGGAAACTTAATTGAATAAAAATGAACCCAAAACTGTATTAAGTATTAAATATTCAAAAAGAATGTTCCAAATTTTAAAAATTATAGTTTTATATTTCAAATAGTCTCTGAAACCATTTTTACATATTCTTTCAGGTTTGCAGCTCGACGGCATCCAATAATGCCTTCAGCTCATTTGACTCTAAAAGAAGAAGAAGTGATAAAACTTTTATTGGAATTCTTGTCCAATCGAGAACTAAGCATATCCCAATTGTCTGTTGAAAGGGAAACTGGAGTCATCAATGGAACATTCTCTGATGATATTTTATTTCTCCGGCAACTCATCCTAGATGGCCAGTGGGATGATGTTCTGGAATTCGTGCAACCGCTGGAAGGAATTGAGAGTTTCGATTCTAAGCAGTTCCACTACATTGTGATTAAACACAAGTATATAGAACTGCTATGCATACGTTCAGAAACTGGTATATTCCAGAATGTAGATGTTGCAGTCGAAGAGGTGGTGAAGAGTCTAGCCGATCTCGAGAAATACTGCCCTTCGAAGGAAGACTATAATAATCTGTGTCTGTTGGTGACTTTGCCTAGGCTATCTGATCATTTCGATTATCGTAACTGGAACCCAAGCAATGCGAGGGTCAACTGCTTCAAAGCTGTTTTCCCTCTAGTAGAGAAGTTTTTACCTTTGGATAAAAAAGGTGTCGAATCTCAGACAGCTAAAGGTGATAGGTTAATTCAACTAATTATAAAAGGGGTTTTATACGAATCTTGTGTGGAATACTGTCAACAAAGAGCTACGTCGTCATCTTCTGAAATGCAAGAAATGGGTTTTTCTCACATACTTAATGGTACCGGTTTCAGTGACTCTGATCTGAGCTTGCTGTCATGGCTTCAGTGCATTCCACCAGAAACATTTTCGTATCCTTTTGAACAAAAGACACTGAGTGTAGATGTTGAGCAATTAGATAAACCTTCTCTTGAAGCTTCATGGTCAGAACAAATACTAGTCACTCCCATCAAACCAAAAATATTTCCTCACTCAGCTATGCCCTTCACCCGACTCCGGACATCTGATTTCATGTCGAAATCCCTAACACCCAATCTCGATGCTCTTGGCCATGGACGAAATTCGATGGCTTTTTCTGTTGGAGATCTTTCCAATATGTCGCGTTCATATGCCGGCTTTCATCTCACGGGCAAGAAAGCCATGAACACTTCAGTGGATCGCCTTTTCGAAGGTGGTGACGTCTTCAGCACAAGTTGTGCTGATCTCCAATCCGTTCTGGATTCAACTCATTTATCGTCAAAAAATAAATTTACAGTTCCCCCCAAAATAATGGAACATGTTAGTCCCAAAGCGGACGATAATACTGTCAACAAAAAACATTTGCCCGATTCCACAACTTTAGAAGAAGATTCTTTAAAACCGGCTGTCTTGAATGATTCAACCAACATACCAAAAGACTTGCCTGGAAAATCTGTGTATTTATCAGATGGTCATAGTGTTTCAGATTTATGGAAAGAATTTCAGCGGAAGCAGCTAATATCAAAAAATGCACAGAATGACACATCGTATATCGAACCATCAATCATTGCTCCGGACTATCCGATTTCATCTACACCTGCAGCAAAGTTGCCCCCAGCTAACGCTTCACCTTTACCCAGCCCTCTTCCCAATCAAGCTAAAGTCCATAATGTTGACAAGTTTCCCACCAGTACGCCTAAGCCTCCAGTGAATCGAAATATGAATCATGGTTCACCCATCTTGTCAAGGAATGATGACAGTTCTCTGGATGGGTCTTCGCTGAGGTCAGTACCTTCATTAGCCAGGAATATGAGCCCGGCAATGAATAATACTTGTGAACTGGTGCAAGCGACGAATGTCAATGCTTCATATGAAATGGCACCGAGGTAAAAAAAAAAAATACTTTTTTTTTTGTTGTTGTTTGTTTGTTTTTATTTTAATAATTTTTTATTTAGATTTTTGTGCTACATTTTCTCTACTTAAGCACGTATAATAACTCTTTATGTATAATCTTGGTGCTACTTTGGTAGACGGTTGCACGGATTTTGGCGATTTCTTTTTGGCGAGCGATACGACTTATGGTAAACCCATTGCTAGACAAGTTATTTATGGTAACCGATACTTTGTTGTCATTTTATTTAAGAAATAATGCGTTTTATTATGCATAAGTTCCGTGTTTTAAATATTATTTATGACTTCTAAATAATAAAAATGAATTTAATTTTGCATTTTTATTTGAAATAAAAATTTTATTGTTTATGATATTTTATGGAATTTTATGTTGTGAGTGATGTAATGAATGACGTCACATTATTTTAAAAGTAATTGGTTTTAATATCTATAAATTTAATCTAATGTTTTAAACATTTTTTATGGCTGTTAAATATTAAAACACAATTTAATTTTGCATTTTTTAAATATGATTTTATTATGAATGATTATTTAAATAATTTTAATTCTAGGCGTGATGTAATCAGCTCCCTGATTGGTTACTGAATATTTGTGCATTACCGCGCCATTTTAAAATTTTATTATTCATCTCTTCGAATTCCTCAGATTTCAAAGCGAATGGATGTCTCCGTTTCGAAGATGAATGTTGTTATTGGTAATTACCAAGAATTATTGGTATCGGCAATAAAAAAATTGCCGTTTGAGACCTTATTTTGGCCAACCTGGATTTCCTAATCAAAGATTTATTTATTGTTACAAGGGTCAGAGGAAATTTATTTAAAATATTTGAAGGAAACCTCGCTAATTGCTTCTTCAATGAAGTGCGAGAAATGTGGATAACAGATGAAGTTTTTTTTTTCCTGGTGCTTATCAATATATGCGTATAGGTAAAATAGCTTAAAAAAATGTAAGTACATATTTTTCTTTTACTTTATTGTATACTTCAATTTTTATTAAAAAATTTAATACATATTTTTTAAAATTTCCTGAGATATTTATTGTCACATGTTTTAATGTTAAATAATTATATCCTATAAAACTTATTTTAAAGGATTTGAATTTAAGTAATTGAAAGATTTTAATTCTTTTAAACGTTGGTATGATGTTTTCAATTCAATATTCAATTTAAGTAATATTTTATTTCAATTAAATGTTGGCGCAATGTTTTTATTCTATTATATGAAAGTAATAATTTAACCTTACTTTAGCATTTTATACTCTTAGTAAATGTATTTATTTACATTTGTCAGCCATCTTAATGAAAACAACGTTTTCAACAAAAAATTAATCCATTATTTTTAACGATATTTATTTTTTTTAAGTTTCGAATACTTTACTATGCGTGAAATACGTAAAAACAGCATTTTTCAAGATGGCTGACGACTGTAAAAACCGCGCCAACAATTGCGCCAATGTAAATCGCCAAAAATCCGTGCAACCGTCTACCAAAGTAGCACCATAATCTTTCTCAGTGTGTTATGTTAGTTTTCTATATTTTGCAGTGTTCTTTTTACATTCTTGAAAATTGTTTACATGACTGAAATATGCGTTACGCTAGTTATTATGAATATCTGTAAGCTGTTATGAGCTGTTTATGTATGTAAAGGAGGAAAGAAAATAGAGGAAAACAGTGACGTAATTACTTTTTCACGGCAAACATAAAGTGTCTTTTTGCAAGAAAAAATTGGATGAATCTATTGTAAATAAAGAGTGTAGTACTTAATGTAAAATACTATAAGAATATCTCCTTAAAACTTAGCTTCTTAAAAACTTTTATCTCTACGTCGCCATCATCTCGGAGATGATATACTTTAAATCCATTATATAATTATCTCGACATTTTTGGAAACAAATGTGTAAACATTTTAAACACAATTTAAAATGCTACACTGAATTTTTCCAATATATCTTTCTTCTTCGTCCAGTAATGGCAGAAGCATGAGTCCAAACAGCTGTTAGAACTTGATGACTTCACGTGTCAGTAAACATTTAATCCTGCGAAACTTTTTGTAGGATTTCATGAAACGGTTGTTTCCTCGGTTTTTAAACAGGAATTTGTCATTGCATTTGGTAATACTGCGTCTAACAGCTTAAGTCCTTTTAGTTTCAAAGTTATTGCCAACCTGTTGACGAATCACAGCCATTATTCCTGAGCTTTTTAACGGTTCGTGAGTTCATCCTGTTTAACTTCTGTTACTTTTGTTTGAGGAATTTTAATGGAACTGAGCCATCATACGAATAGTTCATTGTCTCTTCATTAGCTGCTGTGAAGGTGGATGGTTATTAAGGGAAAGCACACTATTTGGTCTTCCGAAATCAATACATTACCAGAAGGTAATATATAATTTACAGCATATGTTTCCACACACATTTAATGCTTTTGTGGGGGACTCTAGTATTTTATTGCAGTATTAAAAATTCGAATCCTGTTGACTATTTTTTAATGTGATACTTTGGCAGTCGGGCAGATCATTGAAGTTTGGCATCAAAACCCGGACATGGCTGAGTGGCTGACAGCAAAGATGATGACACCGAAAAATTTCATTTTTTAAAACTCCATAGCTTTCACTTGAAATGACAGATCATTATTCTTTCAGATTCTCCAGAAACTACATATCCAATAATGATTTAAATTAAAATAAGGTTAAGTTTTCGACGCCATAATTATTTTAACAAAGGAAAGAAGAAGCGACAGAGCAACGCAAAGGTCTTATTGCCGCGATGGCAGGGAGCAGTCTCGTGAAAAATGGCGCGAACTCTTCATTTATATAGCAGCGGTTACGTAACATGCCAGAATGTTCTCGAAGGTACTGGTCTAGGGGGAGATTCTGAAATTGCGGAAAGTTAATTAGAGGTTGCCTGTTCGCGTAGAGCAACGCCATCGTATTTTTTAACATAAGAACATTCGTGTTAAAAAAACTAAAAAAAACTAACAACATTCTGCATTTCGTGTATTCCATAGCATATGTACTGCGATATGCCATGTAGACCATGGTACATCGCGCAGGTTGTGCTTTTCCGAGAAACATCTAGAGGGCGAGAAACCTACCCAAGACATGTGTCCAACGTTTTCGGCTTCCGCTGAAATAGTTTTCAAGCATGTGCACCAAATCTGAGGCATTTATAAGACTTCCACTTGCGAAAACACATCATCCATGTTGCTTCTCCCCCCCCCAATGGCGAGTCCAAACCGTCCACAGACGTTCGCCACTATTAAGGCCAGAAGTGGTGGTCGTCTTGTTATGGAAGTACCTAATAGGTGGGCCACCTTTGCCTCCTATGAGAGGACGGACAAATACAACCAGGCATTCTCCGGGATTCGAGCCCAGGCTTTTTGGTATCGCATTCGGCTTCCCTAACCTCTATACCGTCTGGGCGGCCATGTTGCTTCTCGAGACATTCGTATCATGAACGTGACGTCAACGCCTCCAGATTGTACGATAACGTCACTTCATCATCTCCAGGTTATACAACTCGAGTGGGTATACTGGCCATGCGGTTCTCATGTTTGTCTTCTTTCTTTTGCATAGGCCTTTTCTGTAAAAATCCTGGCGGGGGGGATTTTTTTTAATTTCTTGTAAACAGTATTGAATATGGAAATATTAGCATCTTTTATGTGATGCTCTCACTTGGGCAAATCCAAAGCATTTATGTGAAGAGTTTCAGTACCACGTTTAAAAATTGTACTTAACGAAACCATTTCTATCATTTTGTTAAAACTGTTACTATGTTTTCAAACTCATTGTTCTCTTTGGTTGTAACATAAGCTTGGCCCATTGTTCACAGAAGAGTACGTTGAAAGAAGGGTGATGATAGATCGTGATTATAAAAGCTATCTTGGAATCTGGATTTTGCAACTAGCTGGCAAATAATTGCGTATCGTATACCAATTGATGTGAACTTCCGTTCAAATGCTTTAGTTATCGACTGTTTAGATGAGGAGGAAAACTGCATGATACACTCAAGAGCCAAAACATTATGACCAGCCCTACATTTTGCGATGAACGCACCTGGATAACGTGGAAGGCACGTGATCAGGTGGAAGTGGTATTTAACTGCTGCTGGAGAGTCTGAAGAATCATTCTTTTACTTACTTCTGTGTGTGATGGGAAAGGCTGCGGATCTAAGCGACTTTGATAGAGGGCAGGTTGTAATGGCTCGAAGGCTCGGAAAAAGTATTTCCGAAACTGAACGTGGGTTGTTCGCGATCTACAGTTGTTAGTGCGTATGAAAAGTGGATGAATGACGGTGAAACCAGCAGTAGACGACATGGTGTTGGACGTCCACACGCTATCAAAGAAAAAGGTCGTCGGAGACTGTCTCGCATGGTGAAGCAAAACCGGAGCCAGACAGTGACTCAGCTGACAGCCGAATACAATGCAGGGCCAAGTAGAAAAGTACCGGAGCACACTGTTCAGTTGGATATGGGAACACTGTTGGATATGGGGCTACGCAGCAAACGTCCTACTCGTGTGCCTTTGCTGACCAAGCGTCATCGCCAACTACGCCTGCGCTGTGCCCGGGAACATCGCGATTGGTCCATGGATCAGTGGGAAAGAGTTGCCTGGTCAGATGAATCACGGTTTGTCATTCATCACGCCGATGGCCGTGTCAGGATACGCCGTCTTCCAGGCGAACAGTTGCTCCCTCAATGCACAGTAGGTCATAAACAGGCTGGTGGTGGCAGTATTATGCTCTGGGGGACGTTCTCTTGGGCGTCTCTGGAACCCTTGGTTGTGGTAGAGCAGACCATGAATGCTACAGGGTATCTGAACATCATTGCGGACCAGTTGCACCCTTACATGGCCTCTGTTTCTGTTTTTCCAGCTGGAAATGGAATGTTCCAACAGGACAACGCCCCGTGTCACAAGACTACAATTGTGTTGGAATGGTTCCAGGAACATGATGCTGATTTCTAGTTAATGTCCTGGCTGCC